AGAAATTGCTGCTCCCCAAGCTGGGCCCCTCCCCCGCCAGTGCCCCTCGTCCTGATCCACAGCCCTGCCCTGGCTGTCCCAGCCCTGGGCTTCCTCCAACCAGTGCCCCTCAGTCCTGACCCGTAGCCTTGCTCCGGCTGCCCCAGCACTGGGCTGTGCCCCTCATCCTGACCCACAGCCCTGCCCCAGCACTGGGCTCCCCTCACCCCAACCAGTGCCCTTCATCCTGACCCGCTCCCCTGACTCCGCTATCCCAGCCCTGGGCTACCCCAAGCTAAGCCAATGGTGGGCTTAGGGCCTGTGGACAGCACCCCCCGGGCTGGGCGAGGCGGAGCCCCGTGAGGTAGCCGTGCAAGGGAGGGGTGCTGGCCAGCAGGGGGTGCTGCTGCTGGTGGGCTCCCCTCACCCCAACCAGTGCCCTTCATCCTGACCCGCTCCCCTGACTCCGCTATCCCAGCCCTGGGCTACCCCAAGCTAAGCCAATGGTGGGCTTAGGGCCTGTGGACAGCACCCCCCGGGCTGGGCGAGGCGGAGCCCCGTGAGGTAGCCGTGCAAGGGAGGGGTGCTGGCCAGCAGGGGGTGCTGCTGCTGGGGGGCCGGGTGGGAGGAGGCAGGCGCTGAGCTGAGCCCACCCGGTGTCTCCGTGCCAGAGCAGTGTGTGGGCCCGGGTGCCAGGCCGGGGGGCCCGCGGGCTCCAGCATGCTGGGCAAGGTAGGGTGACTTGTCTCACGCAAGCCACGTGGCTCGTGGCCCTCCTGCCCTCTCTGCTTTCCCAGGGGACCGATACTGGCTCTTCCGCGAGGCAAACCTGGAGCCCGGGTACCCGCAGCCCCTCACCAGCTACGGGCAGGGCATCCCCTATGACAAGATCGACACGGCCATCTGGTGGGAGCCCACGGGGCACACCTTCTTCTTCCGCGGAGACAGGTGGGTTGGCCCCTGTGGGCCATGCTGGTGGGCAGGGGGTCAGAGCAGCAGTCTGGCTGTGGGGACCCCTGGCTTCTATTCCCAGATCTGCCACTGACTCCCTGGGCATCCTTGGGCCACGTGCTGTGCCTCAGTTTCCCCGTCTGTGCCAAGCGTCGTTTATTATCCTGCTCCCTGCAGTAGAGTCCCCAGCGCTCGGGCCCAGCCCCACATATAACGTCCTGAGCCCCAGTCCTTCTGCCACATCTCCTGAGAGACGTTACTGCAGCCTTGTGGCTTTCTCCTGGCGTTGGTCTTGGGCGGGCAGCGCCGTGTGACGAAGGGGAGATGATGGAGCTGGGGTGGGCAGCAGGAAATGGGAGAGGGGGAGGTTTGAGGTGGAACACAGGCCGGATGGGGCTGTGCAGGGAGGAGAGAACAGCATTGTACTCCTCTGCTCCCCAGCCCGTTAATGGGGATCTGGGAAAATAAATTCTTGCTGCCTCCCGTATCGCTGCCCCGGTGCCTGGCTGGAGCAAGGCTGCCCTGGTCTGATGGGAAGGCAGAGTGAAAGCCGGAGGCGTTGGCCCCTCAGGGCTCCCTCTGCCACTGGCCCCCGTCACGCTTCCACACCCCTACTCTGCAGCACTGTGGGGCTCAGACCTCCGGGGGGGCTGTCTGCTCTCTGCGGGCAGGAGCCAGTGATTTTTGGTGCATTGGGGCAGAAGCACAGACCAGGAAGGCAGGCCGCCTGGGTTCTGCCACTGACTTTGGCAAGGCACCGCCAGGCTCCATGCCTCAGTTTCCCCTCCTGGGAAACTTGGGGGGTGCTGCTGCTCCTTCCACATCTGCCCAGTGCACTCAGTTTCGTGGGTGTCCCTGCGCATCTGGCTGTGCTGGGATCCTCCCCACTTCCTGCCGTGGAAGCAGGCGGGCACCCCCTGCTGGGTCGAAGCCAAGGGCGGTGGTGCCCTCGCCATGCTCCGTCCTCGGTGCCCCTTTTCTGACGGGAGAGGGCGGGGGGACCTGGGTATCGCCCGCTCACAGGGGTGCCCCTTCTGGTGCAGGTACTGGCGCTTTAACGAGGAGACCCACGCCGTGGACCCGGGCTACCCGAAACTGATCACCGTGTGGGTGGGAATCCCTCCCACGCCCAAGGGGGCCTTCCTGAGCTCGGATGCCTGTGAGTGAGATGCAAGAGCCCCTCTGTAGGAACCATCTACCCCCGCCGGGAAGTCACCCAGCACTGCCCATTGGCGCCTGTGTTAGACTCGCCGCCACTGTACCCGGGCTCAGCTCCAGTCAAGTCTAAGATGCTGCTCCCACTGTTCAGGCCTGGGGGCTCCAGGGGTAACAGTAACCACCGTGCCTTATGGGTGTCTCCCAGCAGCGGGGAGGGTGCAATTCTGGCTGCAAAAGTCACTGTAGCAGCAGCGTGGCACGGAGCCGGGTGCCTCGGGTGCAGGAGTGGAGGCTGCCTTCCTCCCCCGAGCTTCCGGAGGGCACGGGCCTCGCTTTCTCACCCTCCTTGGAGAGTTACAGGAAGTTCCAATTTCCTCTGCTCCGTTTCCTGGTCGCTGAGGCGTGGCCTGGCTCAGCGCTGCGCTGCTAAGCAAAGGGAGTTGTTTTTCCTCGGGGCAGTCAGCTCAGCGCGTGGGCCTGGGTTTTCAAAAGGAGGGTGCTGCATAACTAAACGATCAATTACGTATGCACTGCGTGAAACCAACTCTCATGCTTCAGGGCATCCGCCCATCCCTGCAGGGGTCAGGAAGGAAACCCCTCCTCCGCCTCCTCCCCCCCATACAAACCATTTGCCAGTGTATTAGTTTTATTCTCCTTCCTCGGAAGCATCGGTCATTGGCTTCCACCAGAGGCGAGGACACTGGAGCAGAGAGTGCAGTGGGCCGATCGGGCATGGCAGGAGGCAGAATATCGGACAAGGGTCTCCCTGACGTGGTGGGGCGGGAGAGCAGACTGGGGACTATGGGGGAGTGGTTTGGAGCAGGTGGTGCTAATCTCCTCTCCCTGGCTCCCTTCCAGCTTACACCTATTTCTACAAAGGCACCAAGTACTGGAAGTTTGACAATGAGCAGCTGAAGACGGAGCCGGGCTACCCCAAGTCCATCCTGCGGGACTTCATGGGCTGCCAGGAGGCCCTGGCACCGGAGCCCGACCCCGGGCACCGCTGGCCCGACCTGGACAGGCCTCCCTT